ACAGTGCCTCGGGTTGGGGGAGCACTGGCCACCCCCGGGCAACAGGGCCACAAGACTATGTTCATTTCCTCAAACAGGGAATTCTCCTTCCCAGCTGTGGGTGAGGAGCCAGCACAGGCAGGGGGCAGGCACTGGGACTTTGGGTGGTGCTGAACTCTAGTGAGCCCGTTCCCAGCTCTGCATGGTAGTGGTGTCCTTGCTCTTGTACCCATCTGACATCCCTACCTTTCCCTCCTGCAGAGCACAACCACCCCATACCCATGGAGAGGCTGAGCAGGAGGCAAAGGGCCACCTCTGGGGGTCCCTCATCGCTGGGGCCACTCCTTCTGCCCCAGCAGGTAAAAGGGGCAATGTATGTCCAGAGGCAGTGATGTGGGGCACGTGGGTGAACCTCCCATCCTGGGAGAGGCTGTCACAGCCATGCTGGGAAGGGCTCCTCATGTGAATCCAGCCTTGCTAGAGCTTTTCTTTTGGATCAGCCTGGGGATGGAGGTGGGCCGCAACCTCACTGCTGCAGCAGTCACTTGGGGCTCCTCCAAGCTGGCACAGCTTGAAGCAGCATCCCTCTGGCTCCCCCCAGCCTGCAGCTCTGTTCTCCTCTCACCCAGCTGCCCGGAGAGGATGGCACTGTGACAGGAACAGCATCCAGCTCAGGGTTCCAGCAGGCAGAAAGTGGTGAGCCAAGCACATCCTCCACCCCAGCCATCACCTTCCTCATTCAGGAGGTAAGGCAAGGGCACAGTCTGGCAGAGGGAAGGGCAGGGATGGCAGGAATTCCAGGGATACCACGTTCAGGCCCTGATGGGAGGTTTGGGGGGCAAAGCTTAGCTCCAAGGGTGAGCAGCAGGTATGTGCCAGCACAAGGGGCAGCAGGGAGGAGGGGAGGGCAGGTGCTTGCAGTGGGGCACCTGCCCAGGCCAAGCACCCACGGGCTGTGACCTTGTCCTCTGCACAGGCTCTGATCTCTGGGGGCCTCCCGGGTCTGGCCCGTGACTCGTCGTTTGTAGCAGTGACCAGGGACGAGATGGCAGCCAGCAGCCAGCTGGGGATGGATGAAGTGGAGAGAGCAGCCGTGGAGCTGCTGAAGGGAAGACAAACACTGCAGGGCACAAAAACTTGCTCTGCCCCCCCGGACACCTCAGCCATGTCATCAGCCAGCTCCCCAGGGCTCAGTGCAGGCCGGTCCCAAAAGACCTTCAGTGCCCATGCCCAGGCCAAGCACCCACGGGCTGTGACCTTGTCCTCTGCACAGGCTCTGATCTCTGGGGGCCTCCCGGGTCTGGCCCGTGACTCGTCGTTTGTAGCAGTGACCAGGGACGAGATGGCAGCCAGCAGCCAGCTGGGGATGGATGAAGTGGAGAGAGCAGCCGTGGAGCTGCTGAAGGGAAGACAAACACTGCAGGGCACAAAAACTTGCTCTGCCCCCCCGGACACCTCAGCCATGTCATCAGCCAGCTCCCCAGGGCTCAGTGCAGGCCGGTCCCAAAAGACCTTCAGTGCCCACGTGCCCGTGAGCCACCTGCCAAAGTAGCCCAGCAGGCACAGTCCTGTCAGGGGCCCACAGGGGGGGCTGGGGCAGAGCTGCACTGCTCCCCTGCTCTGCCTGCAGTCCTGGGGGGCTCTGGCCAGCTGCAGGAGTATTTTTGGGACATCTCTAGGATGCTGGTGCAGGACAGGACAATGTTGTGCCAGCAGGCTCTTGCAAGAGCTGGACAGGTCATTAAAGTGTTCCTGCTGTGTGACCCTGTGGATCCAGTCCCCTCCTTCCTCTGCCCCCCTGCCCACACAGCCTGTGCCCAGAGCTGCTGGCTGCCCAGCCAGGGGACGGGGCTGCAAACGTGAGACCATGTTGAACCATTCATGTGGCAGCCTCCAGCCCAAGCTCTGGGGGTCTCCTGGTATCCCAGCAGCTGGACCCTGCAGCCTCCTGCCTGCAGCCAAGCCTGGCCTGTGAGTAGGGGATCTGTCACAGGCTGGGCAGCAAAATGGGGCCTGGGGGCTTCTTGGCTCCCTATCCCAGCTGGGTGCGAAACAGGATGGGGCAGAAGCATGAGTGCATGTCCAAGCTGGGGCACCAGCCCTGGGGCTGGCCAAGAGGAGAGCTGGACACTGCAATGCCGTTTCTGCCTCTCCTGCTGTCTCCAGGCACCACTCTTGGGGTCGGGCATCCATCACTCATCCTGGTGTGTGGGAACATCTCATTCATCCCGTGACATCCCCACGGCTCAGCAGGGCACTGGCCAGGAGAGAGTGGGGGCACGGTGCCTGTTCCTGCCAGTGCTCCCAGTGCTGCCTGCTGAGCAGCAGCTGAGGTGGTTCCTCTCTGGGGCTGTGCAGGGGTTTGTGTTACAGACTGCAGTGCCCCCATGGGGTCTGGGTGCTGAGCACTGGGGCAGCCCCATCTCCCAGCCCAGCTCTTTGCTGGGATCTGGCTCCTGAGGGCTCCCAGCCAAGCAGAACTGGGAACTGGGAGGGTTCTTCCTCACCTAATATATATTAAAATGCAGTGAGGGGATGAGTCCCGAGGGAGGAGCCGATCAATGAGCCGGCCTGCTCTCCAGCACGGCTTTTATTTGTTAACTCAATCAAGAGAACCGGCTGTCTCTGAGCTCCAGCTGCAGCTGAGCACCAGAGCCAGACTGGTGCTGGGCCATGGCAGAGCAGCTTCCCCCTGTGCCGTGCAGCCAGCAGGGATGGATGGTGAGGGCAGCTGCTGCATCCCTTCCTCTTGCTTCTTTGCCCTGGGGCAGGACCTACATGCCCTCACACTCACCTCCCTTCCTCCCCACATGCACACCTTGCTGAGGAAGGGCAGTGTGGCTCTGGCAGCTGCTCTACCAGGGGATGTTATGGGTGACAAGATGAGTGGTCATGGTCTAGTGGGTTTAGGGAGGTGTGGGACTGCATGTTCCACTTCCCAAGACAGGTGGGTGCTCACCGGGGACTCTAAACATGAAGGGTGACACTGTGGTGGGGACACACGGTGGTGGGGAGGCCTCTGCACCCTCTCCTAGGGTCTGGGGCTGCACAGGAGGTGTGTGTTTTTGGTGTGTCCTTTTTGAGTTGATTCTAGCTGAACAGATGTGACAGCACAGATGTGATTTGTGGCACAGCTGGGACGTGGGTGGGAGTAGGAAGAGAGGCACAGCAACATCACGGCACAGTCACTGCCCCTCTCTGCCTGGAGCTTCAGTGGGGAAGAGTCCAGCCTCTGAAAAATCAGCAGTTCAGGGAGGGAAGTGCACCCTGGACCAGGTGTCCTTGCAAACATGGGACAAAAGAAGAGGAATACCAGCTCCTCACATCCTTGCAGGAGAACAGACAGGCCATGTCCTGCTCATCCCCATGCTGTTGTACCAGCATAATGTGCCCTGGAACTCACCCATCCCAGCAGGTGTTGAGAAGCTTCCACAGGGTGCAGAGATGTCACCTTGGGAGCCTTGGAAGGAGCACAAGTGGACAGGGTGAAGGGACAGTGCTGTTGAGGTGAAGGTACCCAGACCTCAGAGCATAGGGCAGGTGCTGGGCTCTGTCAGCCACCAGGATTGGCGTGTCCTGGCTGTCCCTCTCCCAGGACACAGTCTGGATTCCTCAAAGGAAACCTCCATATGCCTCAGTTTGCCCTCGGGTTCCATTGCTATTTGCCCTGACATTGACACCAACCTGCAGAGCTGAGGGTCCCCTGTAGGTCTCTCACCTGCTGGGAGATGCTTTCTCTTGCTGAGCCAGGGCCTGGCCATGTCCCCAGGCAGCGTGTCCAACTGCAGTCAGCCCCAGCAAAGTTAACGCAACTCAGGGATGCCGTAACAGGGGCTCCTTGAGCTCCCCAGTGCTTGCCTGTGCCCAGTCCTGCTCCCTGATGGCCACTGTACGTGTCTCCCTCACCAGCCTCCGGAGACCAGCTCACAGGATGGACCCAGTGGCCCTGTGGGCACTGTCCTCTGCTGCGTGGGTGTCCAGCTTGCAGTGTGAGCCCCACAGCCTTGCAGTACAGACTGTGCATGCTGGAGAGCTGTATTGGCACCTGGGCACTGTGGCACTGTGCTGTCATGCCATCAGCCTCATCCCCTGTCCTCTTGGGATGGGCTCTCGCCACAGCCTTGGGCAGCCCCCAGGGTCACCAGCCCCCAGTCCCAGCGGGTCTGGCAAGAGCATCCAGCTCATCCCTGACCTGCTCTGGCTCCTGCTGCTCCACGGTGTCGCCCCTCAACACCACAGAGCTCTGGGATGGGATCCAGTGGAGCCATGGAAGTGTCTGAGTGATGCCAACCATGTCTGAACATGCCATCCGGTGCAGCCCGGAACAGCCCTGGCACAGCCCCGACAAACCCCGGAACAGCCCAGAGCAGCCCCAGTACTGCCCCGGTACAGCTCCGGTACCCGCGGAACAGCCCCCGTACAGCCCCGGTACAGCCCCGATAAATTCTGGAACAGCCCAGAGCAGCCCCAGTACTGCTCCCCTACAGCCTGGAGCAGCCCCGGTACAGCCCCGGTACAGCCCCGGTACAGCCCCAGTACAGCTCTGGTACACCCGGAAAAACCCTGTACAGCCCCGGTACAGCCGAACAGCCCTGGTACAGCCCCGGTACAGCCGAACAGCCCCGGTAGAGCCCCGGTACAGCTCTGGTACACCCGGAAAAACCCTGTACAGCCCCGGTACAGCCCCGGTACAGCCGAACAGCCCCGGTACAGCTCTAGTACACCCGGAAAAACCCTGTACAGCCCCGGTACAGCCCCGGTACAGCCCCGGTACAGCCGAAGCAGCCCCTGCAGGCGGCAGCGATGACTGACGGGTGCGAGTGCGAGTGTAACAGACCGTGCGAGAGCGAGTGCGGCCGCGGCTCGGTCCGTGTGCCCGTGTGCCCGTGTGTCCGTGTGCCCGTGTGTCCGTGTGTCCGTGCGCGCTCACCGCCCGCCCGCGCGCTCGCGCCTCGGGTTCTCGGGGGCGCGGCCCCGGCGAGGCCCCGCCCCGCACCTGGTCCGGCCCCGCCCCCCCGCCCCGCGGATGCTCCCGGGTAGCGGCGGCGGTGGCGGGGCCATGGCGACCCCGGACAGCTGCGTCAAGGTGGCCGTGAGGTGAGCGCGGGGCTCGGCGCTGCCGGCGCGGGGAGGGCTGTGCATCCCGGGGGTGGGCGCGGGGAGCTCGCTGCGCCCCGGGACCGATGCCCGACCGGCGGGGCGGGCGCTACAGCCGCGGGTGCGAGGCGGCGGTTGGCGGGTGCCCCTCCCGGGGCAGTGAGACCCCCCTCTCCTCTCCCCCGAGCCGGGTTCTGCCGCATCCCGCGCTCCCCCCGCCGCTCTCTCTCCGCACCGTTTCGGGGTGTCTCCCCCCACCTCCCCACCGGCTCCCGCGTCGCGCAGCCCCGCGCTGCCCTCCACCCCCCCCCCGCCATCCCCCGGCCCCTCCGCCGGCAGAGCCGCCTGGCACCCAGCATGGGCAGCTCCCGGCTGCGGCGCGGGTGGGTTTGGATCCCCCCCCGAGGTGTCACCGGGATGCCGGGGGGTGGGGTGGGGGTCCCTGGGTGGTGGGGGAACGATGCGGCATTTCGGTGCCTTTGTGCTGGGAACAATGCGCCTCCAGACCCGCACCTCGCAGAGGGAGCTGCCGGCGGCCTCCGAACCCGCCGGGGCTCGGGGGGCATCGCCTTGGCCCTGCCTGGGCAGAGCGGGAGCACAAAAGATGCTGCTGGTGCAGCGGCAGTGATGGAGGGAGAGCGGGTGGGTGTGGGGCTGGGTGTGTGTTGTGCGTGCGGGTGTGCAGGCTGTGTGCGGGTGTACACGCGTGTGTGTGTGCACCGGGACACCTCCCAGCTCCCCCTGCCCCTCCAGCCTGCCCGCCCAGGGAGCAGCCGGAGGGGATTTTCTGCCGTGCTCCTCTGAGAAGCCGGGGGTTGAGGCCAGGCTGTGGCTGTGAAGGATGGGGGAGCTGCAGGAGGAGTGACGGCAGCCCCTGCTGCGTGTGCTGCTGGGGTGCCTGCACAGGGGCAGGGTGGGCTGTGCCAAGACCGAGTGTCCGTGCCAGGACATTGACCCGGGAACCGAGTGATACCGGCGCTGGGGGTGGAGATTTCCTCCTGGCCAGACTGTTCCCCTCTTCGCGCTGCATTTGTCTCGGGATGATGCCTTTTAACATCATGCGGGAGGTGGGGTGGGTGCCGCTCGGGATGGCGGCTGCGGGGTCGTTTCTGCTGGGCTCTCCTAATCCCTCAGGGGTCTGCCAGCAGTGGGGTCCTAGGCTGGCTGGTGCTCGGGGAAAGGATTGCAGCCGGGAGGTGGTTGGGATATGCAGCATTGCAGTGGGGCTGGAGTGTCCATGGTGAGGAACCAGGGAGAGGAGAGAGGTCCAACCCTCTCCTGTCCCTTCCTTGAGGGAGTGAGCCAGCATCCCACTCAGTGAGCCGGTGGGAGCCAGGCAGCTGGGGCGATGAGGTGGTGGAGGTGAGCTGGGAGGACAAAGGAGCAGAGCCGAGAGCAAGGAGGCTGCCAGACAAAGCCGGCAGGTCGCAGCGCCGTGCAGGAAGGTGGCTCCGAGGCTGGGCTGAGTGTGCAAGGGCTGAGTGTGCAAGGGCCGAGATGCTCTCCCTGTGGACCACTCACCTTTTCTGCCACACCAGCCCTGGGGGACTGGGGTTGGGTCCTGTCCTGTGTTGGGCTGGGAGCAGAGTGAGATTTTCCTTTGTGAGAGCAGGTGACACCCTGCCGGTGGAGCAGCCGGGCTGGGGGAGTCTCCAAGACCCCCCACCCTTGGAGCAAACCTGCCCTAGATCTGCCTCCCTTGCCCATCCGAGCGTGGAGGGGATTGAATGCCTCTGGGGTGTGGCAGGACACGGATCAAAGCTCCCCTTTTGTCCCTTCATAATAACATGAATGGGCCAGCTGAGCCATTTCTTCGGGGTCTGTGTGTCTGTGCTGCTGGTGGGAGTGAGGTGGGACCTGGGGAAGGGCCAGGGACACTGGGAGGTGATGAGGGTGTTGGAGGAAGGTACTGTGGGCTGATAGGGTCAAAAGACTGGGGCTGGTCCAGCTGATGTCAAGAGGTGCCACAGGCCACCAGGACCCATCTCTGTGGTCCCAGGGTGGAGAGCCCTCAGGGTGGGAGGAATGGGGACAGAGGAACAGGAGTGCTGGAGCTGTGCACCCCAGTTCTTGCTGATTCTCTTGGCCTGGCAGGAGGAGGCAGGAGCGACGCTGTGGTGTTTCACTGTTGACCTCACAGGTTCCCATCTTACCCCTGAGACCCCCATCTGCCCCTTTTGCACTGGGAGTCCAAAGAATCCGGTTTCTGAGCCCGGTATTGGAGTGCAGGGGCATTATTTAGGCTTTCTGCGTGCCAGGAGGGAAATGGCCAGTACCTGCAGCAGCACTGCTGTCAGCAGAGGGAAATGCAGGCCCAGCAGCTGCTCCTGGCCCAGGGGCTGATTTGTCCGTGTACCTTGTACCTGCAGCTCAGACCTGCACTGTCTGCAAGGGCAGGGCTGGGTCCTGCCCCGGCCGCCGCCTTCCCCGCCAGCAGGGTCTGCCTTCGCTTGCCCCTTAACCTGGAGTCTGACTCGTGGCCCCATGGGCGCGGCTGAGCTTGCTGGCTCCGATGGACGCCGTGGGGAGGAACCGCCGGGGCCGAGCTGCCGGCGGCGCTGGGGCTGGGGCTGGGGCTGGTGCTGGGGCTGGGGCTGGGGCTGGTGCTGGTGCTGGGGCTGGGGCTGGGGCTGGGGCTGGGGCTGGGGCTGGGGCTGGGGCTGGTGCCCGCCTGCCCTGCGCCGGGGTAACGGTGTCAGCAGGAAGCTGCCGCCTGCCGCGATGGTGCTGAGTGGGGGGGCCTGGGGACCCACACTCCTTAGGCAGCAACTGCCGCTTCCTTCTGTGTGTGACCTTCAAAAGGGTGGCTGCGGTGCAGCCAGCGCGGCAGCTCCCCGCTCCTTGCCCTCTGTCCGGGAGCACAGCCTTGATTTGAGGCTTGTGCCAGGGATTTAAGGCCTGTGCCTTCAGGCTCAGCAGCCCCCCTCCCCGCAGCCCCCTCCAGGCTTGCAGTCAGGTGGTGGCAGCTCTGGCAGCCGCAGTGGGCTGGGGACGGGACTCCCCGTGCCGGCTGCAGGAAGCGGAGCTCAGCCCTGTTGGGCGCACGAGCAGTTTCGCAGTGTCAGGAAGGGCTGATGGCACGTATTGACCCCAGAGGCCATTAAACTCCTTGGCTGGAGGCCTGAGCAGCCTGTCTGGCTGCAGAGCTGCTCCCTGAGGGCACCTCCAAACTGGCCAGCTCATCGGAGAGAGAGTGGCATCCCCTGTGCCAGAGCTGCCCGTGGCACTGAGCACGCGTGGCCGGCTGCGGAGACGCAGGAAACGGAGCTTGTGAAATTGGGGAAGGAAGTTGAGTCGGATTTCAAGTTTATTTAAACTCTGCAACCTCCAGTGCTCTGCTGCTCTCGGAGACACTCCTGCTGCGATGCTTTGTGCTCCACGAGGGCAGTCCCGTGCTGGCTTCTGCCCCAGGGAGTGACCCCCAACTCCTCCTTGGGAAGGAGGGCTGGACAGACTCGTGTGCCCATCACTGTGCACCCTGTGGGGGCCTTGGCTGAGGGACTGAGCTGGGAAAGGCCAGCTGGTGGGATCAGCTGGGCTCTAGCCCTGCTAGAGTCCTGGCATCTCTGCCTGCCGGGATGCTTTCTGTGAATCCGAAGTCTCCAGCACCAGCTGGGGTCAGTCCCCGAGGAGGTGGATGTGTTGTAGCCCTTTCAAACCATCTCTTCTGTGACAGATTTGGGTCCAGCTGGAGAGGTGGTCTCAACCCAACTTGTGCCAGGCCAGTGTCCGTGCTGTCCAAGGGCTCCAGTGGGAGAGGTGTGGGTACAGCTTGGTACCTCCTGCCCACCTGCTGCTCTGGCAGCTCAGAGCCCCTTCGGTGTGGTCCCAGGGGGACACTGTGGAGCAGTGCATGGGACACTGTCTCTTGCCAAGTCTGGCTGGTGTTGGGTTGGCTTTGCTCAGATGTCACAGGGCCATGCAGGGAGAGATAAGGCAATCCCACCCCAAGGCATGTGATGTGCCAGGCTCCTGTGGGATGAGGCTAACAGCCCATCCTGGTGTGGGGCACAGCCCTAGGGTGCTCCCATCTGCAGGGGCTGGGAGCAGCCCTGATCCCAGGAAGGAAAGATCTCAGGAGGCTGCTTTATCCTGAGGGTGCTGGACAGGCAGAGCATCCCCAGCCCCTTTCTTCATCCTTTGCCCCTAATGAGGGCAGCTCAGCCCTCGCAGCGGCCCTCCCCCCTCCCCTTCCCCCCCCTTCCCTTCCCCCCCTGCCATCCTGTGCCTGTTTTGCTGCAGGGCTGAGCCTTTGCTCTCACTGCTGCTCTTTGCTTTCACTTTGGGCATTCTCAGCCTTCTGCGGCTCTGGGGGGAGGTGGTGCATGTTCTGGGGAGCGACAGGACCGTCCAGTCTGTAGGGTGGTGTTGGGGGCCGTGGCAGGCTCTCGGAGGGCAGTGCTGAGCCCAGGTGTGTGGGCACAGGGGGTTCTGTGCCTGGCTCCAGTCAGGCACTCGATGGCTTTTACAGCGGAAATGTTAGACAGGGGACAGAACCTTGCGAGGGGGGAGCAGGGCTGCACCCCGTGGTCCCACCAGATGTGCCATCGCTCGCAGCAAAGCAGCTTGAGGAGGGTTTTGGTGCCTGCACACATCACCCATTGGCAGGGGATTTAACTGAATGCCATGGAGCCTCAGATCTTGGGAGGCCGGGGCTGGATTAGCCAGCTGCAACCTCAGCAGTGAAACTGGAGGCAGGAGAAAATTGCAGGAGATGAAGCCCCAAACAAAGCTGTCAGGAACATGGCTCCTGGCCCCGGGAGAGGGAAGGCGATACCCCCGTGGGCCTGGTGTGAACCAGCCCTGGCCTGTGGCTGTCCTGCTCTTCCTGCTGGCGGGGGGTTGGCCCTGGTGGTCCCATGGGGTTGTTTTCTGCTGGAGGCTGTCAAAACACTCCATGCTGCTGGTTAAACAGCCAGCAGATTTGGGATGTGGTGGATTGTGAGGGCAGCTGCTGCTGGAATCTGCTGCAGGAGATCATCGTGCTGGGAGTGACTGTG